TAACGTTGTAAGTCGGTGAGGATAACTGAAAGAAACCTGTAAATGTGATCTTTTGTAGGTTCTGCAAATGGTCTGTACTTTTAAGTTTTTATGTTTAATGTTTTTAAGTAATCAAGTAATTCATATGCTTCGTTTTTGTCTGGCGTAGGTTCGGGGATAGGATTGATATTGTTTGATGTGTTGGAAAGTTCGTCTAGCCTTACCACATATTCCTCGTTTTTGACTGTTTTTTGTTGAGAAGGAGGGTTCATGCTCCACCACGAGTTCAGGGATGGAGTTGTTATTGCTCCTTGTGGAAGAATGTTGGCCCACCAAGTCCATGATATAGGCCTAAGCTCACTATCAAATTGATTGGTTATGGTGATGGCTGCATTCAGTTCGATTCGAGTCAATTTACGTCTTGGACCGGTTGTTGTTTTTCTAGCAAAATGACGTTTCTTCTCAGGCCTTCTCTTGCTGGTGGCACGCAGATTAGCCAAAGGATATGCTACAGAGGCTTTCGTCTGCTGTTGGCCTTCATTTGTTGATTGGGTTGATGATCGTCTTCTTTTCATATTCGTCTCCGTCTATCAATCAGCTTAACCAGAGCAACCAGAGCTGGTTCAAGTTCAGTTTTACGTAATTCTTTTGCAGGCAGCGATTGCAAAACAACGATAATTTCAGCTTTTATTGAGAGAATTGTGAATCGATCTGAACATTTGAAAGATAAAAATCCTTCTGAGGTGGTTTGTTTGAAGAATGGAACTCGTTGCCGAGTGATCTCCTTCTCAATAATACCTCCATGGTAATAATAAAGGCGCCGCTCTGGTTCGTATGTTTCCTGTAGTTTCTCCACTTAGTAAAACGTTTAAATTTTACTGTATCCGCAGGAGGACGGATTTTCCATCGATTTTAATGCAAATAAGCGGGAAAGCTCATTCTTCTGCTATTTAAGTTCTTTGCTGTAACTTGCTGTACCAGTCAGGAGCTCGAGCAAGTTCGATTTTACGACAGAAACGTCATAATAAGATGCGCGCATTGGGCATGGCATTGTAGCAGAGCCTGTGGTCTGTCATGTGACGTGTAGAAGTTGTGGACAAAAAGTCGCTTTCTATTAAACTTCATTGTTAAAATTTATTTCATCGATCATATTAAGAGAAAAGACGTGAATAAAATATAAAATTATGAAAAGGACAAATAAATAAATAAATAAATAAATAATAACAATCACATGACTGCACTGCTTTATACAATATAAATTCCAGACCCAATATGTTCCACAGCCGGGCTCCACTATACAAATTACAAACTGACACTTAAATAGGAGAGTGGCGTATTTAGAAGTCTTGAAATGGGGATGCTGATAGGAAAGGGGGTGCGCGAAGGTGAAGTAGGGGGAGGGGCTTGATGATCAGTTGAGGGGCATAATTCGGAAAATAAGGTGATTTTGGGTGGTTTTTTTTTAACTACACGACAGTGATTTGTGGGGGGAGTAGTTTTTGAGGGGCGAGCGCCCCCCCCCCCCGCGCACCTCTAGATACGCCACTGAAATACTCCCAAATATTATGAAGTAAAGGGCTACAGAATTCACAAAGAATTGGAATTAAATTTTAGTATTATAACACCCTACACGTAGGCTTTACTTCGGTATATGTTATTCCACTCCTGTGAATGTGATGGGGACCCTCGTAATCGACTATTAAAATGACACGTGGCACCTTTTTGCACCCGGGCCCCTCGTAATCGATTATTTAAATGACACACCGTCACACGACTTTTTTGCACCAAGGCCACGGCCCCCTGACTTTGATTTGATTTGATTTGATTTGAAAGTTTCTTCGATATCAACTCAACAACAGACGACAATACAGAAACAGGATTATTAAACAGAATATACAAAGAAACAAAACTGAAAAGAGAATGCAAGTCATCTTTGTTGATATCTGGAACCCTTCTACATTCCAACCCAAGATACAGATGACACCATAAAAATTCAATACAAACCCATATGCAAGAAAAAGAGTTCCAGAAACAAAGGCAAAAACCGATGATCTTGAGCAATTGAAATTTTCATTGACATCGTTACGCCACTGTGTGTATAGTCCCACACACAGAGTCTAAAACATCTGATTGCGCATTGACACACAGAAAGGTTCATCAACGGGAAGTTAAATTAAAATACCTTTGCGCTGTATTCTTTTGATCTTTAAAAATGTCTCTAAACGTAGGTAAAATTTAGTTTCCATTAAATGATGATCTGGTCATATATTCTTTAAGATTTTTCTTTATATGAACAATATAACATTCAGAACACTTATTATAAACACTAGGTTAACCTACACCATTTTCATTCCACTTTGTCCAGAAGTGTTAAAACATCAAAACACTTCGAAAAAGCATGCAATATCAGCTGCTATTGTGGAATCAAAGCCTGTAGGTACGGAGGTTCTAGTGTTTATAGGGAGAGGGTGATAACTTATAAATTGACTCAAAGGCCGCATGCACATCAGTGGCGTATCTAGAAGTCTTGAAATGGGGTGCTGAAGGGTGGGGGGGGGAAGGTGAAGTGGGCTCGATGATCAGTTGAGGGGCGCTTCGCAAAATAAGGTGATTTTTTGAGGGGCGCTTCGCAAAATAAGGTGATTTTTAACTACTTTAACGTGATTTCTGGGTGTGACTGGGTGGGGGAGTAATTTTTTTTTTGGGTGGGGGCTTCGCGCACCCCCTTAGATACGCCACTGGTGCACGTACGCGGATACGCACGCATGTTCATGGCTTATTGTTTTATATGACAAATTAATATATTTTAAAGTGAAAATCGGATAAAAATAATACTGTTGTACATGTTTGAAGAAAATTATATTTTCTAATACTGTATGACAAACTGTATTGCCAAGTTCTATTGTAGGTCAATCAACCGGGGCGGGCGCCAGGTTACAGTGGTATGGTCCTTGCCCGAAATAGACGCACTATGAAGACACTAATGACGTTCCATAGCGAAACATTCTGTTGACTTGTGCAAAAAAAAAAACAGCAAACGTGGTTAACTGCAATTTCTTCTGTGTATGCGTGTGTACACGAATGTTTGGTGGTCTACAGTTTAAAGTGTTGTTTGTTAAAACCAACAATTTCAGTTAAGGCATATCGAAGCAACAAGTACAACATTTTAGTGGGTAAGTTATATCAGGCTATGGTTAAATACGTCTTTACTTTCTTCAATAAACCTAGGTGGGCCTGGGCCTATAGGGCCTGTACTACTACTAGGCCTCTACTAGGCCTAGTCCAGCTATAACGAGAGAAGAGGAGGCCTAGCTAGGCCCTAGCGCTGCACTTAGGCTAGGCATAGGGCCTAGTAGTACTACTACTCGCCCTATGCTACCCTACTAGGCTAGGACCTCAGTCTAAGCCGTGGGCCTCTAGTAGGATAGACCGGCACTGATGCACTTTTTTAGTAGAAAGTGGATATATTTACGTTGCCGTAAACAAATCAATAAAGGATATATTTACGTAAATGAAACAACGCATGCGCAGTCATAAATAAACCTGGAATTACTGTTGATTACAGCACACTGATTTTTTTTTAGTTTCATACTATTATTATTAGTCTTACATTTTGAGCTTTCTCCCTTATTATGTTTACTAGCATGGATTCATCATGGAAAAAGTCTGTTTGCCAAGCTGCTGCACAACACCAGAAGCATAAGGACGAAACATATACGTATGGAACGGCAGGTTTTCGAACCAAGTATGTCTGTTTTACGAATAACTTTGTATTTATTCCCTTTTAAAACCAGACTCCGGAGGATAAAAATTCTTGATATTTCAAGTACAACTGAGTCTTCTCAGACACTGAAGGGGTGTGTGACGAAATATAAGATATAGATATTTGAATATTTGAAAACTGGTGGCAAATAAAAGGTTACTTTACTGTCTACTCCAGTTTTTAACTTTTTATTATTAAAAAATCTGTATCTTATTAAGCATTTCCGAGTATACCCCTTCTATTTAGTGTCAAGAAAAATTTCAAGAACAATTTTTCCTCCAGATCTTGCCTTTATAAAGGTGCTATATTATGCAGCTTTTGTATTTTCTTATTTTATATGGATATTTGTGTATATATGTTTGTGTTATTTAATATGAAATAAAAGTGATTAAAAGTTATTAATTATATTAATATAATTAAAGATCATTTTGGGACTGATTCTTTCTTGGTCTTGGTCAACTTTTACTAAAGATAAAGTATAGGTGTTTGACAGAGCCAAAGAAAGGTGGTGTTTAAATTTAACATGATTTTGATTCTTTTTATTAGATTTAGTTTATGAAAGCAGATTTTAATATATTACAATATTTACAAAACAATGTTATTAATTATGGTAAGATACTACAATCTCATGTTGATTTCATGCCATGATTGCCTCTTTCAGTTTCTTCTCTATGGTTTTTTTTTTTTATATTTTAGAGCTGATCTGCTCGATTCAGTAATGTTTCGTTGTGGTGTCCTAGCTGTTCTCCGGTCAAAGAAAACTAAATGTAAATATTTTGTTATTTTGATTAAACCTAAAAACGTTTTAAATGTTTGTGTTTTTTTTTTTTTAATTTGCCTTTAAGTTTAATTTATTTTTGTACATTTTAAAAATCTGTTGGTCTTGAGTTTTCTTGAGAAGTCAGCCTTCAAAATTCACAATTTTGGGCATTTCTCAGGCAGAAACCATCACCAAAATCGTTAAAAATTGTTGTTTTAACATTGAAAATGGGGGAAAATAACAACCTAGCATGATGTATAGATATGTAAAGATTAGTTTAGTGCAATAGATTTCAACAATTTTGACATTCCAGCATGTTTTGGCTATTATCTCTGAAACACAATTTGCAACGAGTGAATGGTTTGACTTTTCTTTGCCACATAAGAGCACAAGTTTTGTTAACAACAATTACTTATTGTCTTACAGCTGCCATTGGAGTAATGATCACAGCGTCACACAACCCACAGTGTGACAATGGGGTTAAAATTGTTGAGCCAATGGGAGAGATGCTGATACAAGACTGGGAGGCATATGCAACAAAATTAGCAAACGCAAGGTAGCCGTTTTTTTTTTTTGTTAGTTGTGGTAGTCTTTAAGAGTATTTACACAAAGCATGTCGCAGCGGCATGCGAGCGAGCGGCACGTGACAGCGATGGTGACAGGGATAGAAACATCCACATAGCTCTGTGTAAATATGCCTTATAATGGTTTACTGAAGATACATTCAAAAGAGATTTTCTCAGTTAATCAGATAGTAGATATTAATATTGTTTGATGAGTTGTTGCAAGGTTTGTTGAATCTTCACTTGTATTGGGCAGAGAGTCTTGTATTAAGGGGCTATAATCTTTGGATTGTAGATTTTCTTAGTGGTTGTCACTTTTGAGGATGATAATGAGAAGACTGACGATTGGCTTGTAGCATACCTATGTGTTTCGTTGTTTTTATTAAAATTCATTGAAATTATATAAGGATTACTGAAAGAACAAGATACCTAAATGGCAATAGATAACTTTCACAAATTAAATATGTCTGAAAGAGTAAGGCTTACAAAGAGGTCAGCTGTGTAGGTACGTACTGTATGTCAAAACTGAGGTAACTAAAATTTCCCGTTTTTTTTAATCATATGCGTTTGAGCTTTGTTCCGATTTACCCCATGTCCCATAAAAATCCCATATTTAAACATTTAAAGTATTAAATAGCAAGTAGTTATGGTCTTTGACAGGTTCAAAGATAAACTGTTAAAGAGATTTTCATTTTTTACAGAATTAATCAAGTTCCATCTTGATATGGTTAATTTTCAGGCTTTGCATTATATAAAGGTAATAATAATAATAATAATACTAAAGCTGTGTTTTGTTATAGCACCTAATAGATCCCAGATTCTTCAGGCACTTTACATGTGTTACTATGGTGGAAAACCGTCCCCCACTGGACACCAACCTTGTATTTCTGAGTCTAGGTTTCGGGGCAAGGTATTACACATTTTTGGCGTAACTACATTCACTTTAAACTACAAAGCCAAAATATCTATTTTTAAAAGTGTAGTTATATCTGATGATTGGAACAATGTTGCTTGTAGTGAAACAGTTAAGAAACCAAGCCTGGCTGCTAATGACACTATATTTCCTCTTTTCACTTTTGTCACAGCAATGAGGGATTTCAAGATGTTGTTGATGAGATAGTGAATGCATGCAACATAGATATGTCTGTCTCGGCAAGAGTCATCGTAGCAAGAGACACAAGGTAAACATTGCAACAAAAATAGTTGCAACTTAACAACCATTTTCAATATTTTCCTAATTCTGTTGCACACTGCTAGTGAGTAGTGTGAGACAAGTTTTTCAACTCTTTTCAATAAATGAATTGACTCTCACGCATCCCCTATCGCCAAATCCTGCATCCGCCCTAGAAGGGACAAAGAACTAATGACTTAAATGTCTATACTAACTTGTATTTTAGTCATCTAGCTTATTGTAAATAAAGAGAGCAATAATGATATGAAACTAGGGAGACGTTGATCCTCACAATGACTCATGGTCTTCATGGTTAAACATACACATACACAGAGGTTACAATCCGTTAAGCATACTGATGTCTGCTGCCCTAAAAAATGGTGCTAAGGCAAAGTTAGACCTACCAATTTTCACACCCAAAAGTAACAGAGAATGCATTTAGGGGCATCTAAATTCCCTGGACCCTCATATGACAGGTTTCAAACCAAAAGTCCCAAGCCTGCAAACTTGTTAAATTCGAAGTCTGCAAAATCTTCATCAATAAACATTTTTTTGTTCTCTTAGCTGGTTTGAAGACTAATCACCTTCTTGTACCCCAACGCAATGTTGTAATATTTGGTGCATATGATATAATCTAAATGCCCTAGAATGTCATGGTGGTCAAGAGATCTTATTGACCTAGAGATGGATGGACGAATGCATTGATTTATTCGGTAACCAAAGATAACCCACAAAAGTATGAAGGCAGCTTATTTCCTGTGGGGTACTTCTGGTGGTGATATCATAGGCATATAAATACATATTCCCCAGAGGTTTCTAATCAAAACAGTATAAACAATCCAAAATAAACAGAATGCAGGTCCAGAGAGTTCGCGATTATAAATATACTTTACATTTTATTGAAAAGGTTTCTACTGAGTTTTCAAGCAAACAGAAAATTTATGTAGGGCCCCTAGGAAGCAGTGGTTGCACCACAGATTTTCCCAAGGTTGGGAAAGGAGTGGGAGGCAATGTCCTTGATGGGAAGGCCATTCTCCTAGCTGGTTTGATGACCCAATCACCTATATAATACTCAGAGACATTTTCCATTATTCTTACGTTAAAATATAGAAATGATGAAATTACATGTGATTGTTGATACATATTGAATTGTTTTACATTTAGACCAAGTAGTCCTAAGTTAGCATCTGCTGTTGTTGATGCCATCAGGTCACTTAATGCTGACTACACAGACTATGGTGAGTGTGTTTGATATTCAATTTTTTATTTAATGATGGCATGCCTGGTTTCTTAATTTATGGAAATATGCTAGAAAATAAAAAAAAAACATATAAAGCTCATCCAAGCTGAGTGATCATTTATTCCATGAAAGCAAGGAAGATTAAAAATTTGTCTTTATATTTTATATACTGGTCTTATACATTTCTTATTTCCACCAGGAAAAAGTCATGAAATAGTAATTGAAAATCTTTATATTGGTCATGAAAATCTTGGAATGGTCACGGAAAATCCTTTGAATAGTTGTGGAACACTCAAGAAATTCGATGTTACTGCTCATGTTCAGTGAATAAATGTGTTTTTTTTTTTTTGCTAGGAATCCTGACAACGCCTCAATTGCATTACCTGGTCAGGTGTGTTAACACCAATGGTGAATATGGACAAGCTACAGAAGAGGGCTACTACAAAAAACTCTCTAAAGCCTTCGCACAGCTTAAGTTGGAGGTAGTACTTGAAACAATAATCAGCAATATGTTTTTAGCCCTCAAAATTTGTGCTGGCATTCGATTAATTATATCAAAGCAATTCAACAGGACGCACATCTCCGCTCTCGAACATAGCGCGTGCGTACACTCCTTTGGTCTTTACTGTGGCATCGACAATCCGATACTAGTTGCGAGTACAGGCATCAATTATTAGTCTATGCGTGCCATACGTTTTATGGTGTTAGTTACTATTTTATTAATTTTGGGTACTTCGCAATGTCTGTTGCATCTGATTTCTTTTGACTGCGAGCTTGTTAAATGCTTCTATCAACTACAATTTGATTTGTGAAAATTGACCAAGAAAATGAAAATAATAGCAATTGAAAATTTACGAATTTTATAAAATTTCATGTTCTTATATGTAACATTAAACTGTAATTTTGACAATGTTGGACTAAGGTGCACAAAACGAATATTTGAGTAGATACAGAAAATTTATTAATTTTTTTTCTGCGAAGTGAGTCTCATGAACGACAATACACCACAACATCTGTAAAATTAATGTTGAAATGAAGAATATAATTTCAGTCTAATGTTAGTACAACATATCATTAAGCCTTTGTAATCACCGCATGACGCGTGATTATCATGGCAACTAACACGCGTGTGGGTAATTTGTCACACGCTGACGATTACATGGTCTGGTTGCTATGGTCTTTGTGACGTTCAGCGTGTAGGGACGCACGGCGCCTAGAATGTTGATGCCAGAGTTACAACCTTTGATGTCCCGAGATGTGCGTCCTTCTGTTGAATTGCATGATTATATCACTTTTGAATTGCCTTAATTATATCAGCATCAAGACACCTAACTGATGATACATCTTAATCTCCGTAGCCCAGTTACGTGATTGGATTGAGAGTTTTGTAAATAAAAAATTGCATTTGTTAACTTTTTACTTATTGTTATATTTGTTTTTTATTTCCTAATTTGGCATCATGAAACATATAAAGAATATAACTTAGGAAATATAGTTGAATGGCCAAGCGGTAAGATAGGGGTGCCGCTAATTACAGCCCTAACATCGGCAATGGTTTAAAGTACTCATTGCATCTTTCAGAACAGTAGAGAGTTACCTCGATGCTATGGCTCATTTCAGCCTCTGTCATTGTGGAACGATGTGAACTAAGCATCTCTCTACAGCTGCTACTGTAGTCACAAACCACACCCATATACATTTCATTTCAGGACAATGATGCTGCGAGTTATGGGTTACTCCCCTACCTTTAACTTTAATTTATCAATATTCTTTCATTTGAATTACTTAAAAAGTAAAAAAGTCATTAAGATATTCTAAAATAATTTTCTTCATCAGACTTCAGGTGATAATGCATACGTACCAGAAATAAACGTAGATGGAGCAAACGGTGTTGGTGCCCTCAAAGTTTTACAACTCCAGGAGGAGTTAAAGGGCGCCCTCGATATGACTGTCTTTAATGATGGCTCAGTTGGGAAACTCAATGAACAGGTAAACATACTTCTCGTAGGCCTATCACACATGTGGAACTTGAAAACTTGAATCCTACAAGGGGTTTTACTCTGAGAACCTGACCAAAGGCCTAAAGCAGAATCTTTGCTTGGACTCCACTCTCAGATTCGTTGGACCATCATGAAACCACCATTGTTGCTTATACTGTACAAAAGTATTAAATATTAAAAGATATATTTTCATATGTTTCTTTATCATTTTGATCATTAATATATATATTTACTTAACATGATGTGGTTTAACTAACCTTGTTAAATGTTTCTAGTGTGGAGCAGACTATGTCAAAGTTCAACAAAAGGCACCTGCAGGTGAGGCATTTGATTGGTACATTCTCAACATTGTAATAATCTGAATACAACATACCTGAGTAAAAGTCAACTATGGTTAGCTAGCGTTTTAGAATGTGCTGGGGGATCCAGAGAAAAATTTGGGTATTGGTCATGCGATGTAGAAAGCACCAAGCTCGGGTGGTGTTTGAGATTTTGTTCAGAAATTTTGTTCAGAAAGTGCAGACAGTAATTTTTTACTTAATGTTGCCTAATTAATTGTAATGCCTTTATTGTAGAATATTTATGTGTTTAGTGGAGTTGTGAAGTTGTTTTGTAATGTTTTTCTCCCCTTTTGTTAAACTTCAATTTTGAATGAGAGATTGCAATAAAGTTCTTCGTATTTCGTATTTAGTATTATTGTTAATATTCTTGATTTTGTTCCAGGTGTAAAGTTAGAGGAAGGCAACAAATTTTGCAGTTTTGATGGAGATGCAGATAGAATTGTATACTTTTTCAAGGCTCAAGGTAATCTTGAAAATATCTTAAATTTTTGTTAAAAGCAATTTAAATTGCCAGTCTCAAGCAGGGGCATATCTCACAAAAGAATCTTGCTCCCCCATTGAAAATGTCTGAAGCCAAAATAGCATGCTCAAGTAGGTGAAAATCGCCTCATATTACCTTATTTTGCGACCTAGTGCCCACTCAATCATCTAGCCACTCCACATTTGCGGTCCCCGATCAGCCAGTCTCAAGCAGTAGCGTATCTCACAAAAGAATCTTGCTCCCCCATTGAAAATGTCTGAAGCCAAAATAGCATGCTCAAGTAGGTGAAAATCACCTCATATTACCTTATTTTGCGACCTAGTGCCCACTCAATCATCTAGCCACTCCACATTTGCGGTCCCTGATCAGCCAGTCTCAAGCAGTAGCGTATCTCACAAAAGAATCTTGCTCCCCCATTGAAAATGTTTAGTTGTTTATTAAGTCTTTTAATTTTGTTTTGTGCTTGTTGAACTTGTACAAGATAAAACAACACCCTACCCCTACCCAATGTAAGATATGGTTTTGTTGTTGTCAGACTATTTTATATCAAAATGCTGTAGAATGAATTTTTAAGTTACTGCTATTTTGTTATCTCTTAGATGGAAACTTCAGACTTATGGATGGGGACAAAATAGCTACATTGGTACGTTGTTTTTTTATAATTAATGCCGGGCAATCACAGCTTCGTATGACCGTCGCACAACGATTGTCGGTAGCAGTCTGAAAGGATCGTCATTAAAAAACGGTCTGTTACACGCGCGTCGCTTTGCGTTATTTATAGAATCGTGTCGGTCGACGGCCGTCGTGCGCAGTTAGTGCGCGGCTTTAGAACGCTGATTACAACTTAAATTGTAATGACGAGTAAGTAAAGGAATCACTTAGTACCACTTTCATATAACAATGATAATGATATATAAATATAGAAAAATCTATTATTTTTTGTTTTTCCTATTTTAAATTAATATTTAAAATTTTGGCCGGGTCATGAGGACTCCCAGGCAGCCACAGCACACAGCAATACTGTCACGGATACATTGTCTTTGTCCTTTATCCTGCCTAACTTCCATGTAATAGTCATTTGAAGAGCTGGATGATCAAACCGCATTTGAAACCTGATGCCACTCTGGTTTGAACAGGGGCGCTCAGTGCAAGAAGTAGGGACATTTCCTCTCTGTCAAACATGCTTTATCGTCAATATCTCTATATTAAGTATTATTAAGGATTATTTTGATTACATGCTGTATATAATGTATGTTTTTTATTAGATTGCTGGCTATTTGAAGGAACTTATTGCATCAATTGGTCTGAATTTACAGCTAGGCTTGGTGCAGACTGCCTACGCAAATGGCAGTTCAACACTCTATGCCTCAAATGAAATGGTAGGTCATCAAATGTGCATGTTGTTCGGTATTTATATAGTGCCTTTCCTTTAAGTTGAAAAGCATGATGTTTTGCCTGGTCATTTGTTTCGCATGCTTAAATGTTGCTGCCGTATTGGCGCAGTAGCAGGCAACCCCACCAGGTAGCCATTTATAATTCTGTGCGGTGTGGAAATAGTTCTACATATAGTGCATCACTACCTATGTATCCATTCAATGGGGTCATTCTAAGGGGTCATCTGTGTCTCCCCCCCCCCCCAATATATTTGAAATTTGTATCAATGGGGGAAAAAAAGAAAATTACATTAAAATGTAATGACACTGCCTCTTCTGCTGTTGCTAAATAGTCCAATCATAGAATGACAAATATAGTTTGTATAATATACTAATACTTACATCAGATTTAGTGTTCTGCCATCAGGCAAGTGCTTGGCTGCCAACTCCTCCAATGCGTCTGTCCTCCGCTCTTCTCTTCATTTCCACGTAAGGGCTCTTATCCTTTAAATCGTCCATCATCCCTATCCTCCTTGTTGGGGATTGTTGAAATTCGGACAATGAGATCGTAAACATGTTGTTGCAATGAACTATGACCATAAATACCGCAGGTGTTTAGCATCAAATCGCTTTATTATGCTGTCTTACAATGCAGTTATAGCATAGTGTTCTACTGTATAAAATGGTATAGTACAGTATAGCATAGCATATATATTCAACAACTGTGTATATTCTTCCTGGAAAAGAAAGAAAATAAAGTTGTCTTATGTAAGCACATAGAATCTACATGTCTTATCATTCCAGTTATTGAACAGTTTTAAACAAAGATAAACATTAAACTCGATAACAAACTCTTAAACAGTGCCCTCTATAGTACAGACTTACTCTGCTGAGATTATTCTGACAAGCTCTAATTTATGAGTAGCGCCCTCTATAATATAACTTTCTTGAACGACATCATTAATCTCGAGTATTACAGTATTACTATTATGATGAAATTATGAATAAACCTCAAATAACATTATAATAACAATAATTATTAAACCCTATAATTCATTTGCACAAACTGTAACTAAGCAGTAAGCTGCTATTGTGAAGCACAGCGCCTGGAAAAACAATATAATAATGTCTGCAATATTATACTAGTCACTGTTAAATATCTTTACTCAAGGAATTTGTAATTGTTTCATTCAGAAAGTTCCGGTAGCATGTGCAAAAACAGGTGTGAAGCATCTTCATCATAAGGCCTGCGAGTTTGACATTGGTGTGTACTTTGAAGCAAATGGACATGGTACTGTAAGTAATCAAAGTTCAAAGCTCATTTCATTAGTCATATAGACCGATCCATTCACATTGTTTAATTTCCTCTGCTACTTTGCACCAACGTACATAATAATAATATTAATAATAATAGATGGATTTATATAGCGCAAATAAACAAAGTCTCTATGCGCTCGGGACTAGATGTTGCACTTTTCCATAACTTTCTCCTCCCCTGAGGGTTACTTCACGTCCTATGCAGCCAGTAAACCGACGCACTTTCATCTGTCTGTGAACCAGTGCACCGGGGTAACCCCCTACTCATCTCGAAAGACGTACTGGGTTCTTTAAAGTGCACATGAGCATATGTGTACACTGGGCCTACGGTTTATAGTCCTCATCCGAGAAAACTTGCTCCACCACCAGAACTATAGGTGCGAGTCGGTGCCGATATGATCATGGTGTCCCTGCCTTAACCGCTCGGCCATTTGGCTCACTCATGAACCAGATATGAACGCGGAAACCACAAGGAAGTTTCTAATTGGATTTGTCTATACAGCAATAGTCTTCAAACTATTACTCTTAATGTTACATCTTTCTAAATGTTTTAAATTGATGCTGCAATAAAATACACCTTAATTATTTCTTCAGCCATTGGTAATTCTTTTTTAATATTTTGTGCAACTTATGTGGTGGTATGAGCTCCTTCCATCCTCTCACCTTTGTAGCCATCCTGTGAATGTTTCTGATAATAATGTTCTTCTTTGTTAGGTTATATTCAGCAAAAATGCAACCAACGTTATTAAGACAGCTAGTGAAGACACAAGGTATTTAAACAGATTTCCTACTAGCCTAGGATCTAGGCCATTATTTCTTGTAAATTTATACAGCCTGAATAGTTCCACCAGCATAAGTAAGCCATGTTGCTATGAATCCTATACCACTACAGATTCTGATCCCATTCTTCTATTATCAATTCAACGGTAGTATTTTTATGATTTAATCAAAGTACTATTTTCATGTTTTTAGTTTGACAGAAGATAAGAAACAGGCTGCAGTTCGCTTGATGAATATCATGGACTTGATTAATCAGGTAAAAATGATTGTATGAACTGCTTGTTCTCACTTGTCACAATCTCTTTTTAAACACTTGTTTGGTCTAAAGTGGAAGTACTATTAAAACCTTTAAAATTACAGAAAAATATTTGGAGTTTACAGTAGACCGAATTAGTCACCAAACCAAAGCCGCTATAGTGGGTATAACATCAAAACAGTACAGCTACAGTAGGTGGCAGTTTTTTCACACAATAATAAGCATCTGCTTGAGTAAATTTTGACAGTCTCAACAAACTTTATTTATTTGTACATTTTATTGTGAAATAACTTATCAAAAAGCCTTGGTAAATATTTCTTCAATAAACGTCACAGCATTGACCCGCTACATTTGAAATGCAGTAAAAGAAACAAATGGAAAACTTGAACATTCTTGCATAGCCTCCTCGCATGAACACAGGCCTAGCCCTAGACTAGGGAGTCATACAAATAACGTTCTCCCCAGACTAATTAAAAGCGATCATCTTAGTCAGCACTGGATGTGGCAAGTCGGGCCTAAGCCCCTAGAATGCATCTCAAAATTCTTCATATTTTTAGTCAATTTAAATTTAAATCAAATCAACCTTAATTTCATGAAACTATGAATCATTCACAGTGTATATACTGTTTATAAAAAGTGTCTTCTACACTAACTTCATTACATTTTAAACGATTTAATAGACACCACTTTCGACTCCAATCAGTGCATTAGAATAGGACGATGTAAACAATTTTTAATACCCATTCGGCCAAATTTTGATGACGTCATCTTTGGTGAAAATTTTTTTTTTTTTTAATTGTGTTATCTGCCTATGTAAATAGTGTTTGTTATCTTTTATTCAGTTTTAATTAATGTGTTTTTTATATGCCTTTTTTATATCTGACGGGGTCCAGGTTGCAAATCCTGTGCTTCCCTGATCACCCATGGTGCTACGACTGGTGTTTGCAAGGTTTAAGTTGGAAGTCAGTTGGATAAAATTGATAATTTTTTTAAAGTTTATTAAGTGCGTTACTTTTTTTCAGACCGTTGGAGATGCAATATCTGACATGTTACTCGTGGAGGCCATCTTGCAAGCTCGCCAATGGAGTTTGGAGAATTGGAATAGTGCCTACAAAGACCTACCAAACAGACAACTCAAGGTTAAGGTACAGTAGTCTGCCTATGTTAATATCCTTGTAGAAGCTATACACTGGTGGAGCCAGGATTTGCCTGAATGGGTGTCTGATGTTCCCAACACAATGGCTGATCTCCCAAATGAGAGCATAAGGCAGGGAGACCAGGGGAAGCCCAGAATCCCTTAGGGGAATCCAGGGCTCTCCCTGACTGGAAGGCCCTACACCCCCCCCCCACTTATTGGCCCCACCACTAAATGGCTACCTATTACATTCTATCACTTGTGTAGTGCTACTTCTGATAGTATGCATAACATGTTGTAAGTGTGCTCTATTTATTTACACTATGTTACCAAGCTGGGCCAATTACCGTAGTTAATCAAAAGACAGATTTTCTTTGAATTGAACTTTTGGCTGAGAGGTAATGTTCCTGCTTTTTGCGCCGTTGACCCAGGTTCAAACCCGACTTGCTTCGATTTTTAATGGGAGTTTAGTCATTCGGCTCCTGGAATATCCCTCGCATTGAGAGTTAGGCTCGTTAAGGAACATGTTTGTGACAATACCTTATATTATTTGCAATATCAGTTTTTTTTAGTTATTTTTAATAAATGCTACATTGCTAATTGTTTAGGTGAAGGATAGAACAGCAATTCAAACGACTGATGCTGAGCGGCAGGCAACAGCGCCCTCTGGTTTGCAGACAGCAATTAACCAGCTGGTTTCAAAGTACAACAAATCAAGATCATTTGTGCGACCGTCGGGTACAGAGGACGTTGTCAGAGTGTATGCTGAGGCAGATACTCAGGTAGGCTACCTTTCGCAGAGCAAACGAAGCATCCTTAATGATGAGTATTAGGCACGGTTTTCACAAATATCACTACAGCAATTGCTGTCCCCAACAGCTTAGTTGTCCCGATGCACATTGAAGGCTCCGCAGTTTGTTGGCTACGAATTGGCGGACTTCAGGTTCAAGTCAAAAGGATTAATCGTTGACGTCCTAATGCATAGCACTTCATAAACATTATGTGGGCACTTCTGAAACAAGCATCCTAGCTGGGTTGTCCCCTGCTATGTAGTTTTCTGTAATGTAAAGCTTTTGTAATGTTTTTTTTTTTCATGAATTTTAATCTTATGAGTGTATGCTGTAATTTTTAGATTTTGGCATAGCAGCAGATACTACTGTATATACGGCCGTTCCAAGGCAAAACAACACAACTTTTAACAAAAATATAAAAGCAGTTTACGTTATTTGGCCATGGGATAGCCATATAAACAAATGTAAATAAAAAAAAACCAGTGAAATGATTTTCTGCTATCAATAATAAATGGCGCATTTTTTTTATATGTCTGCAGACATCTGCTGATCTACTTGCGTACGATGTTGCTGTCAAGGTTCATGAACTTGCTGGAGGGGTCGGAGATCCGCCGAGTCCACCATCGTAGTTTGCAGTCCTCTAGGCGTCACCATGTACACATTCCAGTATGCTTTCCATTTGATTCCAGAAACATTCCTTGAAAATGTTAAGATGTGCTAATTGTTTCTGGTTTAAGCAGCAATTAAGAGGAACTGTTTATCAGATGCAATACCTTGTTGGTCATTTGAAGGTGCTTCCACTAGGCTCAGAGCAATTAATATAGAGTGCAGGAAGTGATCATACGGCTTAGTGCATATTCAAAATTACAGCCAGTACTTAAGTGTTCTATTGGAATTAGTTTAGTAGGTTAGAAGCTTTGTATTTACTGTACGAAAGATCATAGTTGTAAGGGTGCTGTTGGACCACTGAAGATGGCTTTTACCACAGATGCGGTCTTCAATGTTTAGCCTAGCTATTAAGCTCATGATTTAATATGAAGACTGCCCTCTGTTGCCTGCCTTCTATTGAATCTATGTTTTAATGATTAATAGTTAAATTTTAAAATGAGTTTTAATTTGTGAATTTTAGATGATGAACAAATTAGTTTTAATTGGTGCTTCCAACATGTTAAACTTTTATTCAGGATATCTTAGATTTGGCTGTAGTGTATTGTTTATATTAACAATAATGTATTAAATTACAAAAGTAAAAGTTGCTTTTTAACCCTAAGGTAAAAATGATGACACATAAGGTATGAAGAAAACCTGCCACCTTCCAATAATGACAATTTCAAAATATTTTTTTTTCAGTCAGCACACCCACTGCTGTAAAAAATTGGAATTTCTCGAAAAAAAAATATTTCCAAGGAATCTTCCCTACAAAGTTTTTAATACCTCAAAAATAGTTATACTGTAGTTCTGGTATAAGCCCATTCTCCGGGGGCATCTCAGAACATCACATTTTCACAAATAGGAATGGTGATCCTTTTTCAAGTGACCGCATGTCCTTTTTTTTTTTTGTAGGGATGGCCAATCGAAAGAATTTTTTCAACAGTGCATGCCTATTTAAATGCAAATCTTGGATTTTTTCTAAAAGTATTTGTAAATGACAGCTAAGCTAATCATTCAATGCATGCTCAGGGCTTTTGCCTGTTGAAACCCTAATACCGTATATACTCGTGTATAGGACGACCCCCAAGTTTGACAAGATTTTTGTATATCGAGCGAATAAGACGACCCCCTCCCTGTTTCACCGTCAGAATTCCTACTTTTTTCTGCTTTTTATGGTCGTGATGCTGCTTCTAGCTTGGCTGATCTTCCACATTAATACCTTTTGATGATTTTTTATACGTTCATCAAAATCTTATTTCCTCGTATTTAAAATTGCATTCATTCATACTAACATTTAATAAATTCATTGCAGTAGTTAAGTTGCGTGTTACGGGTGATCCGCATATACGACGAGCATGATTTAATAAATCTAAAATTTGTATGTCGTGCGTATAACACGAACCCCTGTTTTTCAATTGGAATATGCAATTTTAAGCCTCATTTTATACCCGAGTATATACAGTATCTAAAAATGGCCATAAAGTAGGGTTTAGCGGTAGATTTTGCTTATACCCGAGGTGAGCTTATACATGGGAAGCGGTAAAGCTTTAGTTTCATAACACTGAACGGTCACCATTTACCTACGCAACATTGCATTTTCTACAAACAATACAATGGGACAGATAATATCTGTCAAATATTTGTCAGACTTTTAAAGTTATAATTGATGGGACATCCAATATACCGGTAATATTTATTTTTAGTTTCTTAAAAACATTCAAAACACTTTATATTTAAAAAACTCCCTCTGTGTGCATATATTTTCAGTTTTATTTAATTAATTTAATAAGATTCATTCCATGTCTCGGGACCAAAGTTAAATATATTGGTACTTATTGAACCAAGTAATCACTGGAGCGACCAGTTTTGGGACAGCCAAAACTATCTTCACATTCAATGAATAAAATGGTGGTAATGATAATTATGGTTTTTTAAATCATAATTTTATTTGGCATGACAATAAATGGCATTACTTGTGTACATCTTTCTTAACTTTAAAAAATACATTTTATTTAAATATATATTCTTCTAACACTTGACCAATGTTTATCAAAAATCTATTGCTATTTCTTGTTTTAACGGTAAATGATTTTGTATACCTATTATAGTAGTTGGCATTATCTTGTGTAAAAAATATATTTTAAGCATACTGTACATGTATGCATCTAAATAGTAATTTTGATTGTTTCTAGTTCATGTACAATAGTTTTTTTTTTCTTGTTTACCCACATTATATACAGGTATAAAGAAATATTCTAATTAAGATTGTTTTAAATGTATACAGATTAAGGATTTGTTCAAACATCAGACATGACATATACTTGTGATTTGCCCATATATTGTGTGTTATGACATCATTATGTTATGACATCACCATGTTAAGGCATTATGTTGTGACTTCATGTTGTGACTTCATCATGTTATGACATCATCATGAAATGACATCACAGGTATTTGTCACAGAAAATTTGATAGTATTTGCAGAACATATGATTCTGTGAGGATATTTTATAAAAACATCGAGTTGATTATATATATATTTTTTTGCAATGGAAACGTTTCTCTGTTTTACAATATATATTTCACAGGTCTTAAGTGTCCAAAGAGTTATGAGTCTTACTCTCTCCTGCAAGCAAAAATCTTCCGGAAACCAACCCATCTCCCAAAAGTGGAGTTTGGGGCTAATTGATTAAGTAAGTGGCACTAGGCCTTTAAAATAACTTGATTTGAGGTAATTTTTAACTACTTGAGTGTTATTGATTTTTCTTTGGACATTTTCAATTGGGGGAGGGGGGTTTGCGCACCTCCTAGATACGCAACTGTTTATATTGGACAGAAGACTTGTTTAAACGTGCCTTCTAATTAACCACATAACTAGTCTTGGGTTGGTTGGTAAGATTTTTGGTTTTAAAAAACTTTTTATATTGTAGCATTATTGAACTAAAACAACCAAAGAAAAACATTGGCATGGACCGATAAGTAAGAAAACGACAGTAAATGGTTAAAGCGTAATATAATTATATTTAGTTTTTATTTTCGGAATCTTATTTATTTTTATGACATTGGTCCACTATTTACCAGTGTTCAGAAGGCTAAGTAAAAAATACATTTTTCATGACTATTTTTTTTTTCTGCTACTTTTATTTCCAGCATTCCAATGTACTACTAGGCCTAGTATTGGAAATTTTGTATCCTCTATCTTGGCTTGTGTTAATCATAGTGTTAGCAGCAAAAAAAATATGGGCTTAACAGTAAAAATTTAAAAAAATAGATGTGCAACCTTTTTGTACTCGGCCTTGCAGCTTATTATTGTTTACTGCTTAATAAACATAGCATTGAAATTTTTGTCGTGTTAGTATTTGGTCTTTAGAAATGACGATGCAAGTGGAGATAATATGATGGACTGTCTTTCAGTAAACAGAATACATAAACACAATTTCATTGAACAATTAAATATAAATGCTCACACCCGAAGAATTTTAACCACTATTAAGTGTACACCCTGAATAGGGATCGGTCGTAGTGTTGTTAATGTTTAGTGCCTGAAAAAGTGTCCCCTTAATAGGAGTGTCCCAAAGCAGGGGGCCGGGTTCTTATTAATTATAGTTATAGCTATACACTCATGAAAGAGATCTGTGATACGCCCTAGTCTTAATCATTAAACTAAACAGGAAAATGGGATATGCAGCAAACTTGATTTGAATATTCACTTAGCCATGATTTCCCAGCTGCTACTAATAATAGATAAATAATAATTCCGCCAGAGACACTTTTATCTCCGATGAGGTGCTCTAGAAACACTCGGCTGATTGATTAATAGATCTGTTTTTGTATGGGCGGCCGTTAGGGCCAATATACTATACTCTTTATTATACTGCAGTCATCGGAGCTTTCGAGACTACGAGAACTTGTTTTTCATACAACTGAAAATACAAGTTAATTTCAATTATATATATTTATATATAAATATTATTTATGCATATATATTATATTTTTGATAAATGTAGAGATCTTGCGGTATTCTCTATGAATTTATGAGAATATATAAGATATTAACAGGATATTAATATGTAAAGTAGGCTAGTAGTAAATTCTGCAAAGCCACGTGTTATAAATGAGACAATTAACAGCATAATTTGTTTTATTGAGTTTACGTCTGTTAAAGTAATTTATTAAAAAGTAACTCAATTACTTGGTAAAAAACTATGGGGCTGTGGTGGGAGGGCCTAGTGGTGAGTTTTCGTCGGATCTACGCCATATTGTCGAAATCCAGTTTGCCGAATCCCAGATTGCCTAGTCCACTTTGCCGAAATCCCATTTTGCCGAAACTCAGTTTCCCGAAAATCAATCAAAAGCAGTGAAACATTAAAAACAGCATACTAACATTTGTGATGGAGCACTCTTTTACCGTTACTGGGTCTGTACGAACTGGTGGAGCCAGCGGAAAGTAAGGGCATAAGACATAGATAGGCCTATCTATTTATTCATCCATATTTGGAAATTGTTCTTTCCCACTCTTAAAGAAGAAAGAAATGTATATGATTTATCGGGGAAAAAAGAAAATATCTATTACATGTCTATTGTTAAAGAGGCAAATTCCAGAATTGCGAAATTGAGAATTTAGAATCCTTCCAATGCGTAGTGTGATGCGATAATTATAATAAGTGTATAAAGTGTAATTGAGATAATAATATGTAGGCCTATACCTAAATGAAATAAATAATAATTTATAATTTTTTATTTATTTATTTTTTATTTTTTTTGTAAAATGGATATGTACTGTATATACTCAAACGTCCCTTAATTCCACTGTAATTAAAATGTAATTCTACTGGAGTAAAACATTAATAGAAAGTGTTGGAAATGATGCTTCCATTAGATCTGTTTAAAGTCAAGGGGGAGTTTATTCGAGGAAAAATATACGCCAAAAGAGGCGTTTATTCCAAATGAGGCTCTAGAAGGAGCATTTATTCAAAGCGGAGCGTTTACACGGGTACAAATACGAGAGTGTAAATATGGCTCCTCCCTGATCCAGTGGACCACCCATCATGTTTTCAAAAGCACAGCATGCAGTACTTTTGTACGATGGTGACGGCAAAGATTCGGCAAACTGGCTTTCAGCAAACTGGGTTGTCATGATATCGGTGAACTGGATTCGGCAAACTGGGTTTCGGCAAAGAGGCCATTAATTCGACAATCATGGGTTTCGGAAACTGGATTTTGACAAACTGATCGGATATGGTTTCGGCTTCAGTGCTAGACCAATTCGAGGGTGGACGCTAACAAGGCGTGAGCGCTGAACTAATAATTTTTGGGTTTAGCCTACTACTAATTTTCCTTCAGATACCTGGTTGGTTGTGCACCTGTCTAATAATATCCAAATTACGGTTGAAGCAAGCGTGTATGTGAACAACGGGAACTGTGTCGTAGACACGTCGTCGCAAAAACATCTTCTAAAATAGGCCTATTGAATTTTAGAATGGTGTTTCTTCTATGTAAGAAAATATACATATAGGTAAGTCGAGAGTGTACCATACTGTAGTTGTACAAGCCTGTATGCCTTCATGGTGTTAGATTTAATTGCGGTATCTACTGTTGTGTTGTTGACTTTGTTCAGGCCTACATTTTCAGACCGGAGACTGTGCTCTAAAATTGTTTTGAGTCCTTTTCATACAATGGTATTAAACCGGAATATCTAAGTGAAAATGTAAACAACAGTAAAAAAACAGAGCTAAAGATTTGTTGTTGTGTAATGATATATTGTATAGTCGTAGGCACATGTTTTTGCAACCTACAATCAACAATGTAAATCTAAGTACTCTTTAAAAGTAGGCTAAGTGAAATCATTTTAATTAATTTAATATAAGTGTAATATTATTTATAGGCCCTATAGTGACTTAAAAACGTTCCGTGGCTCCCAAAATGCGCTTTAATTTAAGTACAATTAGGTCTATTCTAACAATCGCTAAATATATAAATTTATGGTCTTAATGCCGTAAATGTTCTCAAAATCATTGTATGTATGTACATTCTGTAATTTTTCTATTTAAATCATTTTAATTAATTTAATACAGTGTAATATTATTTATATAATGATTTACAAATGATCCATGAGTCATAAAACTTGCTTTAATTTAAATAGGCCAATATCAATCGCATAAAAATACATATTCATGAAAATAGCATGCAGCATAAGGTGGTCCTAATGCCGTTAATGTTCTCAAAATCTTGGTGTATTTATACAGTTTAATATATTTCCTGCATTGTATTCGTTTTTTGATATATTTATCAGCGTTGTTGTTGTTTCTAAATATTCTATACCGAATATATATATATATATTTACCTGTCTCTTATACACATCTAGATGTGTATAAGAGACAGCTCTGACAATTGGATCTGTCTCTTATACACATCTAGATGTGTATAAGAGACAGTATATACTGTATAATATATATATATACTGTATAATATATATATATATATGTATATAGATGTAGGGAAAATCTACACCGTCTTTCAAATGCTATATAAATAAACAGATAAATAATAACAATCTCAGATAGGAACATAAGATGTAATGATCATATGAAATGGGGAGGGTTCACCTAAAACTGCAAATGCCGTGAAGGGGAAAAGCAGGTTGTACCGCAGCTTTGTTATTATAGGGCGATATAGGGGTCCGATAAAGTATTGTTTGAAATTCAGGTTGAAATATTAACAGTTAATATTGGCTAATATTCGTTTCGTTTTACTACAAAAAAGTGTATTGAGTACATTTTCGACTGTCTTAAAAATTTGGACCTTTTTCGATTTGGGGTGGGATGTTGGGGAGCGTACTCACCCACCCATATTAAAACAACACTTTATTAACATGTACACTTTACATAATGTATTAAATCAATCAAACAATCAATTTTATTTTCTGAATTTGTATTCCTATACCTCATGAAAGTATGAATATCATAAAAAAAAGTTTCCAAAAAGTGTTTTTTAATCTAATAAGATTTATACTTAATTAGGCCTAACTTAACACAGATGCCAAAATGAAAATAGTTTTAATGTATTTCTCACTAGTTCAATCTCTTTTATTTCAGTGTCTCAGGTCAAATCTACCGATTCATCAATAAGTGCGAAGTCGATGTACAATTATTGTCAGCGGAACACGATGTGTATTAAATTGCCGGAACACAAGGTGCTATCAACTGCCGGATTTATGTGGTCTTAATTCTACAAATAATCGCGCCCGGATATTTATTATCACTGGATCATCGGAATTTGCCAATTATTTTTCTTACACTAAGAACAAGTAATCCTCGAACGATATTAAATACTTAAATATAATTAGGCCTAAGCATAATATACCGTATATTATATTATATTATGTAAAAACTAGAATCTTTATATTCTATTTATATTACGTTTATATAGTTCTGATGTAACATTTCCGAGTATATGTAAGAAATAAAAGTAAACGGCCGGTAGTGTAACTTATAATACATCATTGTGTGTACAGTACTTCCTTTGTCCTAATTGCATTAATAATAATATTATATATTTCATGATTATTAATCAGTATATAATCGAATTAAAAAATTATCACTTATCAATTCGAATATAGCACTATTACAGGCTACTATATCTTATAAACACTCTTTCCTAATAGCCTATATTCACATGATACAACAAATTACGAAACTTTTCAGAGCAAGGTGCTGTCGAATTTTACAAAACAGGAGATGACGTCGGTTGCTAGGCTACAGCTCATGCATATTCAGTAACACGTGTGCTCATTAGACTAACAATAAAAACTTTTAGCTCAGTTTTGACAAAATCGACCAAAAAGATTTTATTGTTAGTCTAATTAGAACAGGTGCTACTGAATATTCATGAGTATGCATGAGCTTGTTGCTTAGTAACCACGTCATTTCCGGTTTTATGTTTTGTTACGTCCTCGAAAGAATTGCTAGTTTAATAGATAAAGTAGCACATAGGGCCTATTGATGAAGCAATTCTTCACTTTTGGTTTAAGCTATATAACAAGGATATCTTAGCTATTGAATTTATTACCGTAAACACAGACATTAGGCCTAAATAAGATGAGAAGAGATACACAATTCCATTTGATATTTATTTTCAAGCATTGAAATTAAGTTGGGATATTTGCATACATTTTATATTTATATACTATAGGTCCATATCATGTACATCCGCCAAAAACCAATAGACCTGATTCTAATCCTTTAAAATGTTATATCTTATTTTCTTACATGTCTATATTCTTTACAACAAACGGGTTATTTTATTAATAAGATAAACATTAGCAGTAATAGTACAATATTAATAAACATACAGCCTACAGAATTAATACATATTGCTAACATTATTTTTGAGACTTTTGCAGAGGAAAACATTTAAAAAAATAAAATTCACAATATATTTTAATTAATTTTATATCCAGAAGCTTGATGAGTGACACAATTTGTGGCTATCCATGATTAATTGGTAAGTTCTGTTGCCCTTTCAGTCCGGACATTATTTCATGATAGTTGTGGCTTCTTTGTCTACATCACTGGAATATAAAAATATTGAGAAAAGAAACAGAAAGAATTATAATGGAGTATCATCAAAACATAATATATAAATAAAACAGTGGCAGAGCCAGTAGGGTTGAAATATAGGGGGCCCACGGGGAGGGAATTTGACAGATGAAGATTACCCACCACCTCAGCCCCACCATGGTTGGGGCTGAGGAAAGAAACTTTTCGATTATGGCACCTCTAGATGGCCAGAAATGGCACTCTCAGATTTTAAATGTGAATGAAATTTTCTTTTTTTCTCCAATATTCTACCATTTTAAAAGATTTATTGAAAAATTATCGTATTCAGTTATCGCAATGGACAACATAATAGTACTTCACGATTCTTATCATATCAGCATTATCATATTAAATATTAACTATTTATGATATCACCATACGATGGAATGATGTGAGAATTATTAAATAGATGGTATTGGGTAGGACTAGTAGATTACAATGTCGTAAACAAATTATGTTAGCATTCCGATTGTCATGGGTAAACAAATTAGTGAGCAACCAACCTGAACATTATCGTAGGGCCTATTCAGTTATCGCAATGGGCAATGCTGCTGATACAACAGAATAGTATTTCACAATTCTTATCACATCAGCATTATCATAAATATTAATTATTTATAGTATCATCATACCACGGAATGATGTGAGGATCATTAAATACATGGTATTGGGTAGGACTAGTAGATCGCAATAACTCAAACAAATTATGTTTGCATTCCGATTGTCATGGGTAAATAAAATGTATAAAAAGTGTACAATTCGATAGAAATTAATATATAGATTAATAAGTACAGTGTATTCAAACAATAAACATATATCTTCATACAAACATTTTTCATGATATAATATTTTTTGAATGATTGATTGAATTTATTCGATGCTCAACATGCACAAGCAAGATAACAAATGGATTGAGATCAAGAAAAGTAAAAATTACCGTAATGAGCAACAGGAACGTCCATTAGCCGGAGTCCAACCATTTCCAAATGAGGTCCAATTTAAATAACTGTCTGTAATGAGCTGAAAGATAAACAATTTAATTTCATAACTGAATAATTATATTTAAGTAAGTTACAAACTTACAATTAAATATATGAATGACAAAATTGTTTTCCTGTCAACTAACAGAGAGTTAAACTATACCAATGCTATATTATACAAGTGTATAGACTCTTAAATTGGCTGGTAGTGTCAAGGATTTTGTAGTAAAATGTTCGCAAAATCAGGAAAAATGAGAAAAATGTCCAACAATTCTGATCGGGGTCTACAACAAGGGGATGTCTAGAGCCTTGTTCAGTGTCCCGGAATAAAATCCCTGGGGTGAGGTACAGGATCGGATCGCCCATGTGATTTTTGACCACAATTGGATTGGCTATCAAAATATATTTGTTTGGATCGGCAAATTAATATATATTTTTTTGTCGTGGAGTCGGACGAGGGGTTTGATGTTAGTTTATAAGTTATGATAACTCGGTATTGCATGAGCAAAGCTAGTTGTTTTTCAATCCAAAAAAATAATGTTTACCTATTTACAGCAACTACTGAGGCCCAGACCAAGGATTTATCAATCTCAGCTTAGCAAATGTCTTAAGTCAAAAAAGTTAAGATGTCCCTAAAGCAAATATCATAAGCTAATTTATCAAACCATCTTAGCAAAATCGTCTTGGATGGCGCATGCGTACAGTCGACTTTAATTTTAAGCATGATCTAAGCAATATTTATAAATTTGACTTAGCAAAAAAAAAAAAAAAAAAAAAAAAAAAAAAAAAAAAAAAAAAACACATCTAGATGTGTAATATTATATATGTGTGTGTACTTGCTAAATATTTCTCCTTTAATTGCTGGGCCCTACAAGAATAGTGTGGCTTATCATTTTTTTTTAAATCCCATAGATCCTTCTAAATTAAGGACTGTAGGACTACATTATTTTCAAAAATCGTTTTTCAATGAGGCAGCTAGATTGTAGAAATCTCTTCTTCCTAGTGCTCGTACTGATTTTCGCCATTTTCTGTTAAATGGTCTGCTGCCTTATCTTTTATTGCAAACTGAGAGCCCTTGCTAATAGGGCCTATTATTTTCAAATTCAGGCTTTTTTATTGTTTTCACTTTTGTGTATGAATTAGATGGTTTCATATGACTTAGAGATCACTGGACCACCTTGCCCATGTCTTGCTCTAGGTACTCTCAAAGTAATTTCATCCAATTTCATCATCTTTATGTCGAATTGGTAATATTAATATTATAATATATAAAATGATCTCTGTATAGGCTTTTCAAAAAAGTGGAAGTGTGCAACCGACCCCACCTAAATCATTCAAAATTAATTCAAAAATGGAGAGAAAAAAAAAGAGAAAATTGTATTCATAGACCTATTTAATTCGTTTCCGGCCATCTAGAGCATGGACCGTAGAGGTGACATCAGAAATCCATATGTGAAAGTCCCTCCTGCATCCCCTTTATTTCGAATTTCTTGATCCGTCACTAGTAGCTATATTTGATATAGACATTATGAAGATATTAATAGCAATATTGATAAATACGGGTGTCATTTTGGCCTACCTCTCTCGCTTTCGCTGTCCTTTAAAAAAAGTATAGAAAATATTTTTGTCGGGCTATAACAAATTTCGATTATTCAAGATTAAAAGTTGTGCACCAGATAATTATAATATTTTTGGTAATAAATTTCATGTCAATGAAAACAAGAGATACGAATCTATAAAGTAAACAACGAACGGAAGTTAACAAGCCCCAAACTTTAATTACTGTAAATAACGTTTCTTTAGCCAGTTTCAGGTCTTCGATGGTTTTAGCGAGTCACTCGGAATGTTGTTGAATAGAATGCAGCCATGTCAGTGCATGCTTCCTGTCGTGGAAGTTGTCAATGCCTTCAATGCCTAACAAACTTAGTCAAAATAATAACCATAGAATGATGACAGAATTCCCATTTTTCTATTAAATAACGATGCAAAATGTTTAATACTGTACTCACATTTGTTATTTATTGTAAAGTCTCCTTCGTAGTCTGTCAACTCCATTCAGTATTGCTTATATGTAAAATGCCACCTGGAGTGGTATAAAAAAAAATCATTATTGTTTTTCTAACCCGCCATTCCTTTATGACGATGAGGATGATGAGGGTGATGATGATAATACTAATAATAATAACAATAATAATAATAATAATAATGATAATAATAATAATAATAATAATAATAATAATAATAATAATAATAATAATAATAATAATAATGTTGGTGGTTATGATGATATTGATGATGATAATAATAATAATAATAATAATAATAATAATAATAATAATAAAAATAATAATAATTAATAATTAAAAAATAAATAAATAATAGAATAAAAAATAATAATAATATATAATTCCTATCTTACTCTTCATAGTTAGTCACGACCCAGACTACAATTTCATATCGTACTGCAATTCAATATGAATTACAGCACGAGTATACCAGGCTTATTAAGTTCTATTGGAAACATATTTACATTGTACTCCCATTGAATGAGACAGTTGTACACATACTATCTTACAAGTTTTTTAGTTGTTATGTGATCTATTTTTATCTGCTTGGCTAGGTGGCCACTTAGGGTTGGCAATAGGCGAAACCCGTCAGGCTCTGGTATGGGGTTTTGACGTTTACAAGGGCGCATTTTCAAGTTTTTACTCGTTTTGCTAAGGCGGGACCCCGCTTGGCCGCTTTGGGGTATGGTCATTGCAAAATAAATGCTGATTAATATCCCTGGGCCTTTTAAAGTCTGGGCCCTGGTGTTAACCAGTTAGAACTCATATGTGTTACGCCATCCGTTTTGAGTAGAACCAATGTTTTCTCACACACCATAATTTTAAATAACGAACAAATAGAGGGTGACGATTGCTAAGGAACTGTGTTGATACAAATCATCGATTGCTCGCCTCAGATAATAGAATAAGTATAATAGGCATCAATCTTTTATGAGAATCCCTTTTGTGTCTGTTTCGTTTTACCCTTTTACAAACCCATTCTTAATAGGCATATTATATCGACAATGTTCCGGGACTTGTCAAAATCTGTACTTCTGAACCAATGTTATTACACAACAGAATTGTTACTCCAACATAGTGATTTTGTTGTAGAGATATTCCTTGACAGGTTATAACAGTTGTTTACAAGTGTTTGGAAATAGATCTGCGAATTTTATTAAGGTCAGTTGCGTACACGTTTGTAAAACATTAAATGCAACCGTATTGTTGTGGATTAAGCATCCGTAGAAGCATCATTAGTACTGAGTTGTCTCGCTTAAACACTGAAATGTTCAGGCTATTCCAAATACAGTGTACGCATAATGTTTTATCATCATTTGACAAGGTTATTGTGGGTGCAGATCATTCTTCCTGTTTCGCAGGCCACCAATCTGAGCACGAATGTCTACCCATTCATTGGTCTCCATAAGCACCCCGATTTGAGATTGTCACACCATTATTAGACAAGAATACACAGAAACAGAAATAATAACTAAAGACATAAAGATAATAACTAAAGACTAAATTTACCCTTGTAAATTGATCATTTGACCTTTGCAATAGTCTTAGTATTTCAATTTTTACTGTATTTTTAATGTTTTTATCTTATTAATTTTTGACTGATTTCATTGATGATTTTGTACATATATTTTATATACATTTTGATGATAGTTTTACTTTATTATTTTATGCTAATTTATTTAATGTATGTTCTCATTGGCATCGGAGAGCTACTGACAGTGTAGTTCACGTTTTGGCAATCCTGTCAGGCAAATTGAGTGTTGTCCTCTCTCTGTTATTTAGTGTTTGTCAGTTTTAATGTTCTTTGGACCAAATAAATGATATGAATTGAAATCGAAGGCATTAAATTTTAATTGCTGACCCGTTCCCTCTCCAAGATTCATGATGTATATTCGACAAATTATTTCCTTCTTATTTCCCTTTAAATCATTGAGGCAGTACCCTTCAATTTCTTTAAACAAGGACTTTTAATTGCTTTAAAATTTCAAAATAAAGGAGTAGTAGTATGTTTCTTCTATCGATTTGGCATTCTTTGATTCATAGTGTATGTATCCCGGTTACTGTGTTTACTTGATTCTTTGTGAGTCAAACGCAATCCTATTTGTAAGTGGTGTAGTTCACTAAATGCCATGAACAAACAAACAAAATGGTATGGGCTCCCACCTTATCCACGATAGTTATCAGCGTACATCGGGCCTACGAATCACAACGAGAACTTCTATACAAATGATCTATTATTAAATTCAGAATATTTTACGAATGCCTCAGTCGTGTGTTCAATGTAAGTATGGTGTGGATATGTTGTACTAATACTAGAATAATACACATATGGCGAAATTTATGTCGTTATTTCTACAGTATTCTCATTTTCTAAATTTTGATTGTGATTTTGCCCATTGATTTTATACTTATTTGTGCCCTCCTTCCTGATATTTTGTATAAACTTGACTTAGTCAATGGCCTGTTATTAACCAATTGTTTCCTCCCTGCTTTTATTTCTTTTGCATTATTTACGGTACTGCTTCTAAACATGGGCCAAGGATTGTCAAAGGAAACATTTTTTTATGTGTACCAAGGGTAATATTGAGGCTCAATATTTTAAGCAACTTATTCTCTAATGACTACTCCTATATTTTATTTCTAAATATCTTTCTTGGCATTTTCCAATAGACCTATAATTATTATAATGTAACTAAAAATCAGAAACCCGTACTAATGCTTTTTGTTTATATTCTTTCGAAGTAGGCCTATGCATCATCGCAAATCGTGAGACGGTTTTTTTCTGAAGGTCATAGACAAAGTGCTTTTTAAAGATTATTTTAAGCGTCGCAATATTATGTATTTTCTATGCGTTTGTTAATTAATTTATGCTTTAAAGTTTATCCACTTCTAAATAAAGCAGAACCCCTATTAAAGGGACACTTTCGGGACCAAAAAAAATGTCCCCTTAATGGGGGAGTCCAATTAACAGGCATTGGCCGTAAGTGCTAAAAGATCTACACTTGCCCTTGTTTTGTGACCGAAAAAGTGTCATCTTAATTAGTGGTATCCCAAAGGAGGTGTTCTACAGTATAACGAAACACTAGGTTATAAAATTTGCCCATGGAATGTGAAAATTGTGTAACATGTAAAACATTTGAGAACAAAATGCTATTATTGGCTTGAAGAAGTAGGGGAATCATCAAAAGGGCCTAATGATTCTTTTAGAAATTAATTTGGCAATGTTGTACAAAAAAAAACAAATGAGGAGGGGGTATTATAAATATAAAAGATTTGCGTCTACTTGTTGGAATTAAACACCCCTGGGAATTGACCAATTCACAAAATATAGTAAAAAGCAGATCGATACCACTAACAGCCCATGCTTTTTTTTTTAAATATATAGACATAGGGTAGGAATATTGTTGAACTGAGCAGCATGGCATGAGAAGATATGACAAGTATAAAAGCAGCTGAACAGAGAGAAATTATCCGGGTAGGTTGACTGTGGTACTGTCATCTAAAAACGTCATAAATGCTATTCAAATTTATGTTTATATTTAAGTTGACATAGGCCTATGCTTGAAACACTGATTGGAATAGGGTACAATGGATTTTACTCTCCCCCTAACACCACAAACACAGAGAAAACAATAATTTTCTCTTTTTTCCTGAATTCGCCATATACAAGGGCTACTGCAGATTATCTGCTTTGATTCCTACTGTGAAAACACTACATGGTGGTTGTTACAATAAATTTGAAAAATGAAAAATAAAAGGAATGCAAAAGAAAGAAAATTAAATTATGGGGTGGCGCCAGGGTTTGCCTGACTAATCGGATGTCTTCCTCGACAAAAAGGCCCTGATGATGAGAGCCGAGTGAGCGTGACCAGGGATGTCAAGGACCAGTGGAAGGGGTTCCAGTGTAAAGAATCGAAAGCTCTAACAATTCAGGCATTCGAAAGGCTTATTTAAGCGATTTTAGAATTTAACAAACTGTAAAACTAAACAGAATTTCTTTCTCCTCGACGATTTGTGGGGGTGGCGATGTGGGGATCTGTTTCCCTCTCCAATACTGTCGCCACCCCTGATATATACATTAGGCCTACACGAAAAACTACCCAATGTGAGGGTTTATGATTGATGTTAAGGTACGAACCTGCCCAAAGAAAAATCCCCTTCATCGATAAAAGTGATATGCCTAATGTTGATTATAAGATTATTAAAAGTTTGATCTGTCTTGTGTAGGAAATGTGTAGTGCCATTCAACATGGCAGGATACATGATGTTGAAAAGATTCTTGATGACAATGAAGAGTTCATCAACGCAGATGAAGTGAGAATTTATTTTATTCATTCGTTTTATTTATTCCGTGTTTAACAGATAACATTTTCAATAATGGCACAGCACTGATACAGCATCCACTCTGTTTATACTGGTAACTCTATTCGCACGGTGAGTGCTTATTCAGTTGCTGTTCCTATAGTTTTTGAAATGATTTGCCACATCTGTGGATATTTTCAAAATAAGACGTAAAAGTAACCTTTTCAGTTCCATTTAATGTTTTCTTTCTGTCTTTTTCTTATGTTTTTTTGGTTTTCTTCTGTTCTCTTTACTGTTTTCTGTATACCATTTTCTCCCTTCCTTTTTTCCTCAGTACTCCCTCAAATTGGCGCATTGAGAGTAGTATAATGCTCCTTATAAGTGAAAATTGGATTCTGGATTGGATTTCAGAGTGGATATAAACAAACATAAAAAAGAAATGAATAGGCCTATCATAAATATAAATCAAATTAACAGTTATTAAAAAAATATGTAAATACAAACTTAAATATAAACAGAAAAAAATTAATTTGAATTAAGTCAAAATAACTAAATTTACCACTGGTAAAAAGAAAAGATGAAATTACAGGGTTTTTATCAATTTTTAAAAAGTTTTATGTTGATAGTCATTAAAATTTATTTTAATTTGCTTTGGGAGTCCGTTGATGTGCCTTAAACCCAACTCAGAAAGCGTAGTACGACGCATCCCGACGCGATTTATCGTCGGGGACAGTATTTGTCGTCGTGATAATATTAAGCCGGTTACTCACTGCGTGCGACGGTGACGCGACGAAGAACGCACGGGAAGACGCGGACCCAACGGATCATCTTTTTTAATGAGGATCCGTTCAGATTGCCACTGACAATCAGCAGACGTTGTAGCGTCGTCTATCGCTCGCCGGAAGCAAATGTGGATTCGTCGTGCGACGGTCGTACGACGCAGTGAGTGTCCGGCTTTAGACATGTTTAATATTCCACGACGCGACTGTCCCTCCGACGCAGACCTATCACGTCAGCGTTTTACTCACACAGCCGACGCGAAAAATCGTTAGTTGCACGGTATATGAATGTCATCTTGCCTTTGTACACTTCAGTTTCAGTTCCATTAAGATGTTGTTTGATTTACTTGTAGTACATTGAGACTATATAGGCCTACATTGGAGCTCAGTCCAGTGGTTAAGAAGTCCACATTTCGGCCACAGAACCTACCAATAGATACATAGACCTACTAGCCAGTGGAGATATAGTGAGACAATTCCTTGCCCCAGAAACAAATTGCACCCCAGGCGTCCCCACACTCTACCAAAATACTTATGAGCAAAAAATTATACTCGAATAGTGAAGTAATCTATCACATTATTCCTAAACTAGCTCCCATTCAATTTTACAATGCTTCTCATCACTCACCTTATTTTCTATCTGTCTTTTAGTTGTGTTTGATTTTCTGCTCTCTCTGTTATATGCCTTTTCCCTTTATAGACCATTTCTTCGTTTTGATTTTTTGGTTGTTTTTCTCTTTGTTCCTTTTTCCTGAGCACTTTTTTAGACGTGCTATAATGCACATGCACCATAAAAGTCGAAGTTTGGATTCGATTGCACCCGACCACCCATGTCAATACAACCTAGTATATGTCACTACTACTAGCAATAGTATAATACAAACTCCAAGTATCGAAATTCACGCCATCGTGTCGGGATTCAATATTTCGACATTAATTATGTCATCATCAGGAAATACTAGCAAGTTGTATAAAACAATTCAAATACATAATTTTAAAATGGGCGCCAATGCTTGTCTTACAGGGTGGAAATATGGTGGCTAAATCACTTTACAGGAATTTTCTGATGTTAGCAATCGATGCATTGGAACCAGAAATAGCAAAAATATTCGTCGATCGAGGAATTGACATCAATCACAAATGCTGGGTTCGTTTATATGTTTTTGTGTTGGTTCTTCGTAACATCAAAACTTACATCAGGAACGCATTTTATGTTCTTTTAAAGGACACCCTCTAGTTTTTGGTAGTACTTTTTTTGAGATAGGATTGCGTTCCAACTAAACCCTAAAATTCGGACACCTACTCCGTTACAATCTTACTCTTGGTGTGGTTCAACATTGTTAAATCGTGTTTATAAATAATTATCATGAACATTTTTAAAGAAATTACTATGATTTATTCACCTATCAGACACGAATTTAGAATATGAAAACATGATGCGACACAGATTACCTGCTATTTCGAAGTTACCAAAACAAATAATGAGGATTATTTCAATGTATAAGGTATCTACTGGTACCTATACATATTGTTATGTATAAAGTGTCTACTGAAAATATCTATATGCCTAGGCCTATTTTTACATTAGAAATACAGTTAGCCACTATTTACAACTGCTTAAAACGAAACATTATTTTTACCAAAATATATATTTTTATCAGTTAAATATTATTATTAGCTACCACAGTGACATGCTAATGGTGGTGGATGATTATACTATAATGATGATGATATATAATGATAAAATGATGATGATGATAAACTGATAAAGAAGAAATTTTACGTTATTTTTTTTCTAGGGGGTAAATGGCAAGCAATCGGCCAGAGATCTGGCTGTCGAAAATTGCCTAGACGAAGTTGTACTCATAATCGACAACCGACTTCCCGCTCCAATGGTAAGTTGTGAGTGTTACCTGCTTCTTTCAGTAACCTGTGCACAATAGTGGCGGTGGGCTGGGCAGTGCAGCCAATGCAACGTACTGGAGCCCAGAGCTATAAGGGGCCCATTCGTAGATAGGCCAAAAATAATAATTTCCAACTTAATATTTTTGTAGAAAAAAAAACTGGCCAACAGGCCCCTCAATAATAATGATTTTAATTTTTCAAAATTATGAGGGAAAAAAAGAAGAAAATTATATTCAAATTTATGTCTGAGACTGCCATTTGCGGCCATGTAGAGGTTCCATAATCATAAATGTTCATATCTCAGGCCTAATTATGGTGGAGCTGAGGTGGTCTCGATACATCTATGAAAGTCCTTTCCGTTTTAGTAGTAGCATAGGCCATTGGGGGTAGAGGTAAAACGAAGCACTTCTTACGATGAATTTTCTGAAAAAGTTGTCCTTTAATTTTCGTTCATTAAATTAAAAAAACGGCTTCAGAAAATGTTTGAAACTTTGGAGCTTTCTGGAATTCCCCTACCCAACAGGGGAAATTGACTGCTCCAAGCACACTCCCTACTAGCCTTAACTCAGACCTACGCCCCTCAGTTGACGCTTCACATCAAAGGGCCCGGCCATGTACTAGGGCTCGTTCTCATATTGCTACACCGCTGGTGGACAATTTTAATAATCTTCAAATGATATTCAAATTATAAAAAAAAAACAAACATGTAGGCCTATTATAGGGGATTAAAATGGTTGCCTTTCAGATCCCACACCCAACTAAACATGGCGGGCTGAGGTGCAGTGTGGCGCATCTGTTAGGGGTGGGGGAATAATGTTCTGACGAGACCACTGCCCTCCATTCCATGGGTTGATATATTGTGACACAACAAAATATTTTTTCTCACGACCAAAATGTCTCCACTACACTAAACCTCGTAGTTTTGATACTTAGTTAATAAAGCCACTATTTCATTTATTTAATAATTTCAAATCTTATTTAATCGTTTTTAGAGTTTAACAATACAAAATAAACTGTCTACCCTTTAATGCTGAACAATAGGAGGGGCGGGCGCAAAGAAAAAATTTTTTTTTACGCATAATTGTGTTTTCCCAAGGAATTGTGATTTCTCTCCCCCGGAGAAGGGAGGTGGGGGTCAGTTAACCGATTCTACGATAAACTAGAAGGGTCACCCTCTATAAACGATATAGGTGAAACAGGTAGATAACGCATGTCGAGAGGAATTGAAGCTCACAGGGCCTAGTCCGTTTTGCTTGGGAAGATGAATAGAGACATTTTCTTTCTAAATGACACCAATCACATTTTTATATTAATTAAATACTTAGCGGATAATAATACTATATCCCAATATATGCTATTTCTATAGTGTGTGGTTTTTTTTTTTTTTTAGCAACTGTTTTCAGCTGTTGTCGACGGACGCGCCAGCAGAACAAAGCAACTCCTTAGTCATATTGACACAGATGTAAACATGAAAGTGGTAAATAGCTGCTTCATTTGTTTTTAATTTAACAATCACTGCTAATCATATACATGCATATTTTGTGAATATTATCCCCGTTTTGTTTTATGAGATTTATGTTAACAATTATGTTTGTAAGTCATGCGATCTTGTTTTATCTGAACTGCCATTCAGACATTATTTCCTACAACATCGGCAGCAGCCTATTTAAATATACATTCCGTATAAAAAAACAAAAAGGTCGTAGCCTAATACAAAAATAAATACCAAAATTATCATCATTATCATCATCATCAGTACAACCATCATTACCATGAATATTGTAATTTTTATCACTACTATCTTCTTCATCATCATTACCGCCATTATCGTTAGCATCACCATCATCGTTGCTGTTTTCATTCATATTATCTTTATCATCATCATTATTGCCACCATTATTATGAATATCGTCATTGTTATTATCATTATCGTTGGCTTGACCATCATCAATTTGTCATTCTCAGTTCGTTTATTTTCTTTAATTTTATAAAAAATAAAACAATACCAACATGACAAATAAAAAAGGAGAAAACACTTAGGTTTTCTTAATGTAAACATTGGCATCGAGTGGGTCGCCATAATAAAAGATCAATTCATATAAATAAAACTAAGCTAGTATTTAAAAATATAACAGTATATACAATCAATAAACAATTACAAATTAATAACTAAATTCCAAAAATAAATAAAAAATAAATTAATAGAAAATATATAGGCCTTTATTTATAGGCTTATATCATACAGAAGAATTTATTTTCTAATAAGTATTTTTAATGAAGTTAAAAGGGTCTAAGCCCACACACGGGCTGTTTTTTACCCCAGTTACGGTACTTATCTTGGATATTATGTTACTTATCATAATCATAATCATCAGCAACCTCATCATCACCATTATCATAATATTGTCATTGTTATAATTACAATCGTTAGCGTCAGCATCGTCGTTGCTGTTATCAATCATATCATCATCAACATCATCATCATCATCATCATCACCATCATCATCATAATATCCATATCATTACGTGTGGAATTATCATCATCATCATCATCATCTTCATCTTCATTATCATCATCATTATTATCCCATGACAAGATTGAGTGAACTCCGAGATTACAAGAATTTCGAACATTTATTCATATGGCACCTCTAGGTGGCCGCAAATGACACTCTGACCTTAATATAAATATATTTTTTTCCCCTCTATTTTTGTATAATTATGAAAAAAGGTGAGGGTGGGGTCTACCGTTTGAGCCTATTGAATCCGCCGCTGCTACTCTCCGATAGATAAATGCATGCCATTATTTTTCACTCAGAATCAGTATGGTGAGAAAACACCAGGTTCCTCCGCATATACGCTCCTAATGATTGCTATTAAACATAACCACCCAGATGTTGCCAATCTCTTGATAGAACAAAGTATAGATTTGACGTTTCAACACCAGGTAAATATCAATGACGTACCATATATTTAGATAGACTGTATAAATAATAACAATTAGCTGTAACATAATAAGCTTTGTAATAATCCGTCAACGTACTATTGGTAAAATATTTGATTTTTAAAAGTAAGATTGCTGGTCCCAAGTCTTCGCTTAAACAAATCACACATGATATTATAGCGAATTATAACACCTAGAACACCTAAAAAGTGATATATTTAATATAAAATAACAGGCTTTCAAGAACAATTGTTGTGGTATAATTTAAATAAATATGATCACTGATCTCGATTGCCCAGAATTTATATTGGTTCATTTAAGAAGTGTTAGATATATTTTATGAATAGCTCAATTCGTTAAGACAGCTCATTTATAAAATGCTAAATATGTTTCTTATAATGTTATAGAAATGTTCAATTTTGGGTGTTTGAATAAAACAAGTTTAGTACGTGTTATTTAGAAATGTTATTTACAGTAAATACCACTGGCAAAATGTCTGAACGATTTAAAATTTTGAACAGATGAAACATGATATTGTAGCGAATTTATTTTTGACCTAAACAAGTGTTTGTGGTACACAATGGCGGATCCAGGAATTTGAAATAGAATTGGCCCAGGGAGAGACTTTGACAGATGGAGGGTCTATACCACCTCAAGCCCAACATTGAGGGAAGAAAATGTGCCATTATGTCACCTCTAGATGGCCGAAATGGCACTCCCAGACTTAAAATTTGAATGTAATTTTCCTTTTTTTTTTCACCAATTTTTTTACAATTTTGACAAATTTAGGAGGGGAGGGGCCCCGGGCCGTTTAGGTTCCATTGAATCTGCCACTGGTATAATCTAAATAAGTTTGACCCAACTGGTGTTCCACTGGTCTGGAATGCCTGGTTGGTATATTGGGGTTAATTTTGAAATGGCTGACTTGGTTCCTGAATAGTCTATTTGGAAAATGCTAGATGTTAAATTATTTTGTAGATGAATTGGTGAGGAGCCAAGAGTAAATATCAATGGCAAAATACCTGAACGCTTTAAAATTGAAAAGGGGAGTAAAATGACAACTGGTGGTAAATTACACCAAATGAGTAAAATCAAGAATCATATTCGTTAATAATGTGTTTATTTCCAAGGGAAAATTCGATGTAAATAAAGGAAATCGAAGATATCTACAAGATTAAGATTGTTTATAAATACGTAAAAAATATCATAACAATTATGAAAAAAAAAATTATCTTACTGAAGTTTCACTGGTATTTAATGTGTCTAATTTTATGATTTTAATATGTTGTTTAGGGTCATTATAATACATTTAGAAAAATAATATTTACAAAAATGTTAATTTAAAGTTTTAGGTTTCATATATATAGAGAAAGAGAAAGAGAAGAACAATTGAATTAAGAAAACAAAATGTATTTTTAAAAAGTAATGACATAATAACAACATAGTGTATGCTTTCCTTTTTATTGCTTTTAATGTATCTTCTATTATATGTTTTTGTGTTATATTACGGGAAATAAAAAAAATGTTACACGTGACAAGATAAACTCTATTTCGCAAACAAGATGATATATAATATACCGTTATTGTACTATTTATAGGTGTAATTTTACCCTACCTGACGTGGAAATGTACCGAATACTCAGTACATTTGAAAACAACTGAAAAACACGTGACAAGATAAACTCATTTCGCAAACAAGATGATATATAATATATCGTTGATGTACTATTTATAGGTGTAATTTTGCCCTACCTGACGTGGAAATGTACCGAATACTCAGAACATTTGAAAACAACTGCGAAAAAAATCGCAAGTTGTTCTCGGGTGGGACTCCAACCCACGACCTCCAGATCACCAGCCTGGCATCATACCTCTAGACCACCGAGCTTGCGCCTGATGGCCAGGGTTGAATTCGAGTCCAAGTAGTGTTGTATTGTTATTTTCGTGATGGAATAGACAATAACTGGATTTGCGTCAGGAGAAACATGTATAGGTGTAATTTTGCCCTACCTGACGTGGAAATGTACCGAATACTCAGAACATTTGAAAACAACTGCGAAAAAAATCGCAAGTTGTTCTCGGGTGGGACTCGAACCTACGATCTCCAGATCACTAGCCTGGCATCATACCTCTAGACCACCGAGCTTGCGGTAATTGTTATTGTCGTGATGGAATAATAGACAATAACTGGATTTGCGTCAGGAGAAAAAAATCGCATATTTTTTTCGCAGTTGTTTTCAAATGTACTGAGTATTCGCTACATTTCCACGTCAGGTAGGGCAAAATTACACCTATACATGTTTCTCCTGACGCAAATCCAGTTATTGTCTATTATTCCATCACGACAATAACAATTACTACCAATGTACTATTTCTCTTCTATGTTTACATTAAGAATGGGAGCGACTAAATCCGGAAATAAATAAAAGATATCGAAGATACCTACAAGATTTAGATTGTTTATAAATACGTAGAAAATATCATAACAATTATGAACAAAAAAAATAATCCTACTGAAGTTTCACTGGTACTCAATGTGTCTAATTTTATGGTTGTAATATACTGTTTATGGTCATTATAATACATTTAGAAAAATAATATTTACAAAAATGTTGATTTAAAGTTTTAGGTTTCATATATATAGAGAAAAAGAAAGAGAAAGAGAAGAACAATTGAATTAAGAAAACAAAATGTATTTTAAAAAGTAATGACATAGGCCTAATAACAACATAGTGTTTTGTATGATATTTTTTTGTGTTATATTACTGGAAATTAAAAAAAATTGTTACACGTGACGAGATAAAATCTATTTCGCAAGCAAGCAAGTAAGATGGTATATAATTATATCGTTAATGTATCTATTCATCTTCCATGTTTACATTAGGAATGGGAGCGACTGAATCCGGAAAGTGACGAAGTCTTAGTTGCTTCGTACACGGCACTGGAATTAGCTATACAAAGAGATATGCATGATGTGGTTAAAATGATTAAAAATCAACAACTCAAAAATGCTAGGCCTACCGACATTGAGACCAACGGAAGTCTTTATGCGAGGAAAGCAAAACCAACACAACAGGTATAGACGTTTGCTACTTGAAAAAACTGCAATTTTCGTCTCACTAATGGTTTGTTGATTAATACTTGGGGGAAGGACTGACATTAATTGCATGCTGTATAACATACAGTAGTTTGTAATAACATACGATATAAATTAATATTAACGCGCGGATACCCATTCATTAAATGCTTTTTCTGCGTTCTTATATTTTTTATCGTTTTTGCTTTGTATAATTTATTATTATTATTATTATTATTATTATTATTATTATTATTATTATTATTATTATTATTATTTGTTTAAACAAAATAAATAATCACATGCTGAGCTATGATGATACATTATACCCTTTATATCTTTTCCATTGGTCCATTAATTTAATAGTTTTAGGCTAAATGTTATTATTCTGTTAATTTAACTGTAGCCTGAAGATAACCAGTTGACTACGTTACAAATATCACGTGATGCCTCGAAACAAACTGCACTTCCAAGAGTAGAACAAGATCGTTTGATAAGTAATCCACATGCTATGAACGACATTAAAAAGGCAAGTGCTGTGTTTTTTCTATTCGGGAACGGAATACAAATTATATTACTGCGTTGAGCTTCACAAACTTGAATATTAAATTGTTAATTTAAGTGATGTCTTCACTTTGCATTCCACGTAATTTTTTACATCCCCGATTGAACAATAATTTGTACTAGTGTCCAGTATGTGTTTTCTATCAATGTGTTTTCCACAGATTAACATTGACAAAATATATTCAATGGGCCGGTTGCTAAGGTCTCTGAGAACACGTGCGTTGTGTGACAACACATGTGCTTGTTGGACACGCACACGTATTCCTAGCACTGTTCTTATTGGTCAGTCAGTTGTTAAGTTTAATTGACGCTCCGCCGGAAGGGTCCATTGGATACTCGATGATTTATTCAGATTTTATAGTACCGTATATTTTTAAGCCACGAGGAATGATAACAGTGGAGTTGTTGCGTCGCACTGATATAAGTTTATAAAGATACCCGTCCAACATGTAGGAGAGTATCTGCTGTTGAATGTATCGGGCTTACTTGAGTTGTTTTTTTTTTTTAATTATAGAACTGCGGTAAAAAAAAAAAAAAAAAAAAAAAATCAATCTCATTAAGATTAATGATAGGCCAATATCTTTTTTTAAATTTGTTTCGATATTTCATAAATGCTTTTCTAAATTAAGTTAATTTCATCATTCTTATCGTTCTTTTTTATATCCTCATAACTTTTACCACAAATTGTGGTAATTTTATTATCTATTTTATGAAATTCATCATATCATCTTGCCGTTACTCATGTACCTTTCTGCCTCTGTTAGAACATGTAAACATAATCGGTTGTCCGATCCACCATTCCCTTCTCCGTTGAACTTTGTCCATGATCATTGGTTTGCTTGCTTTTAAAATTCTTCTTGCCGTTGTTATGAAATCCCAATTACCAGCAGGCCCGTAGCCCTGTCTCTTATACACATCTTACCTCTGGGCATGGGGTCCAGGGGCCTGCCTAAGGGTCACGGTGGGGTCGGGGCAGAGCAGTTTTTGTGTTTAATGGGTCTATATAATGTTATTAAAGCAGTTATGTTTTGAAAAAGATCTATGTAATAAAAAGGTGGTAATATAATAAAATTAGAAAATATTTTCTGAGAATTGGCATGTTTAAATCATACCGAAAGATAAAAAAAAATCTCATTGCATAATCAATATCAATATACTCAACACACTATTATTATAAAACAAAACAAAAGCTATTCTTTTTCTTCCTCCTCTTCCTCTTCCTATTCCTCTTCTACTATACTTCTTCTTGACTCTCATTTTGTACACTAAAAATAATAGTACTATTTTACTACATGGCTAAAAAAAAGCACAAATATTGTCATTACTACTGACTGGGCCATCGTTAAATTAAGTCAGAGCCCAAAATGTAGCATCATACCGGTATTCAATACGTCATCTGACATCATGAGAAACTAAACTTTAATTACAATTATTTGTTATATACTAGGCCTAATTCGAAATTATTATTTTAAGATTTTAACATAATACATACTGATTAATAATAGCTGAGATTTGATGCACATTTCAGAATTATTAATCGTTTTTAGTATATCTTACTGAATATTTATTGTCTACCAAATGAAATATAAATTATAAGCATCTTTAGAAATACAATTTCTACAATATTAATCTTGTTTTTATATAGATAAATGTTCGATAAACTCTATCTTTAAAAAAAAAAAAAAACCCGAAATTCAGGGCTTCTATTTTTATTCTAATCAATGGCGTTTGTAAACGTGTACGGACGTCATCGTCGAATACCAGGACTTTCGACGGTAAAGCTGGCCTGCCTGCCTAGGCCCCATGCCTACCAATAATAATTAACAAAATGTATTTTTTCTGTACCTAGGCCTACACTAGTTTGTTGTCGTCGGTCTCTAAATGAACGAGGAGCGAACCTAGCCAGTCAACATCTAGGCTAGTTTAATTGATTTTGAAATCAGTAACCCACCTTAAAGGACTATCTGTCGTTTTCTTCTTTGCAACAGCGGACGAAAAAATGTCAGTTATTCTACAACGTTTCATGATTCTTTACCACTAAAAATTAACAAACACTCGTTATGACGTACTCCGTTCTGTAGTGTGTGTCTGCTGTTGAAAACAAACTTTCTAGCCTAATTTTGTGACTGGCTATGATGACTGAGATAGACCATGTTGATTTATTAATAATATTTTGTTTGGGATGGAAAAAAGGAGAGTCAATTTCTCAAAAATTCTCCATCAGCATATAGTTTAGTGTGCGCTATGGACAGTATGGCTATGAAATTTACTAACCACACAATCCACAATCCGGTGATTAAGTCGCAAAACTTTATCTGCATTTGGTAGATTAAGTCGCAAAACTTTAGCTTCGTTTGGTGGTACCATTTACTCTAGGTAGACGGTGACCGGTTTCGTTACCGGTTGGTAGATTTCTTACAAACATTCAGCAAAAGGCCAGTGAAAGCTGAGACGGCAGCCGGGTTTTTATCGATGTTTGCCATCCTTGTGCCATCGTAAAGTCATGGTTTGCTGGAATTGCGTTCAATTTAAATCTCCGAACTTCTGAAGCTGAGATAGGCAAGCCCGTAGCCAGGATTTTGGTAGGGGGTTCTTTTTGATACTAAAAGGGCACTTGCGAGCACCATTGGCTGGAGCCAGGGGGCCGCCAAGGGCCCCCGGGGGTCCAGGGCCAAAACCCTGGTGGGGGTCCAGCATTATAAGCATTTACAGGTGTTATTTAATTGATTTGAGAGGCCATACATTAAAAAAAAATGTATATTAAAGAGGTAATTTTTTAAGTTAAGATAAAAAAAAAAAAAAACAAAAAAAAAAACTACTACTTTAGTACTACAGTACTGGCAATTTAACAACAGTAGCATGATACAAGCTCCAAAGAATCCAGTATGGTTTATTCTTTATTTTTTATTTATACAGCACTTTGGAAGTTGTATCATACTATACTCACTTAAGACAATCAGTAA